ATTATTTCCTGGCGTCTACTCCTCCTGGGGGAGTTTGCTTCTTTGTGTTCTAGAGCTTTCAGCTGTGATGTTAATTCTCTGGTATAACTATCCTCCTGTTTCTTCATGTGAGCACTTAGTGCTATGAACTTCCCCCATAGCACTGCTTTCCAAGTGTCCCATAGGTTTGGGTATGTTGTGTCTTCGTTCCCATTGAATTCGAGGAAGTCTTTAATTTCTTTTTTTATTTCCTCTTTGACCCAGAGATGGTGCAGTTGAGCATTATTCAATTTCCATGAGTTTGTAGGTTTTCTGCAATTTGTGTTGTTGTTGAATTCTAATTTTAAAGCATGGTGGTCTGATAAGATGCATGAAGTTATTCCAGCAGTTATTTTGTAGCTGCTGAGATTTGATATGTTGCCAAGTATGTGGTCGATTTTTGAGAAAGTTCCATGTGGTGGTGAGAAGAAGGTATATTCTTTTTTATGTGGATGAAATGTTCTATAGATATCTGTTAATCCCAGTTGGGTCATTACTTCTATTAGACCCTTTGCTTCTTTGTTGAGTTTCTGTCTGGTATTCCTGTCTAGTGGTGAGAGTGGTGTGTTGAAATCTCCCACTATAACTGTGTGGGGCTTTGGATGAGATTTAAGTTCTAATAATGTTTCTTTAACGAATGTGGATGCCTTTGTATTTGGGGCATAGATGTTCAGGATAGACACTTCATCTTGGTGGGTTTCACCTGTGATGAGTATGTAATGGCCTCCTTCATCTCTTTTGATTGATTTTATTTTAAAGTCCAGTTTGTTGGATATTAGGATTGCTACCCCTGCTTGTTTCTTGGGTCCATTTGATTGAAAAATTTTTCCCAACCTTTAACTCTCAGGTAATGTCTGTCTTTGAGGGTGAGGTGTGTTTCTTGTATGCAGCAGAAGGAAGGGTTCTGTCTTCGAATTCATTCTGCTAGTCTGTGTCTTTTTATGAGTGAGTTAAGGCCATTAATATTGAGGGATATTAATGACCATTGATTGCTCATCCTTCTTCGATTTGCAATGGTTGTTGTTGGTGGAATTATGTGTGGAATTTCACCCCTTTGTTCTTTTGGCTGTTGGTAGAGAGGGATTCTCTAATGCCTATGTTTTTCTGGTTGTAGTTAGCTTCCTTGGGTTGGAGTTTTCCTTCCAAAATTTTCTGTAGGGCTGGGTTAGTGGACACATATTTCTTGAATCTAGTTTTGTCATGGAATATCTTGTTTTCTCCATCTATAGTGATTGAGAGCTTTGCCGGGTATAGTAGTCTGGGCTGGCATCCATGGTCTCTTAGTGTAGGTAGAATATCTATCCAGGACCTTCTGGCTTTCAGAGTTTCCATGGAGAAATCAGGTGTAATTCTGATAGGTCTGCCTTTATATGTTACTTGACCTTTTTCCTTAGCTGCTCTTAATATTCTTTCTTTATTCTGTATGTTTGGGGTCTTGATTATTATGTGGCGAGGGAATTTTTTTGTGGTCCACTCTATTTGGTGTTCTGTAGGCTTCTTGTACCTTCATTGGCATGTCTTTCTTAAGGTTGGGAAAGTTTTCTTCTATGATTTTGTTGAATATGCCTTCTGCCCCTTTGAGGTGGATTTCTTCTCCTTCTTCTATACCTATTATTCTTAGGTTTGGTCTTTTCATGGTGTCCCATATTTCCTGGATGTTTTGTGTTACGGATTTGTTGGATTTAAGGTTTTCTTTGGTTGATAAATCCATTTCTCCTAGTGTATCTTCAACACTTGAGATTCTCTCTTCCATCTCTTCTATTCTGTTGGTAATGCTTGTATCGGTAGAGCCTGACTGTTTGTTCAGCTTTTCTATTTTTCTGCCTTTCTTCAGATTGTATTTTTTTTAATGTCTCTATTTCAGTTTTCAACCCTTGCAGTGTTTGCATTGCTTCTTGCAATTTTCTGTTTACCTTTTCGTCCATTTGTTGCCTTTTATGAATTTTTTGGTTTGTTCTTTCTTCCATTTCTTGCATTTTTTGGTTTGCTTTTTGTTCCATTTCTCGCATTTTGTGCTTTGTTTCTTCTTCCATTTTTTTCATTTTTTGCTTTGTTTTTCTACCATTTCTTGCATTTTTTGCTTTGTTTCTTCTTCCATTTCCTGCCTTTTTTGGTATGTTTCTTCTTCCAATTCTTGCATTTTTTGCTTTGTTTTTTCTTCCATTTCTTGCATTTTTTGCTTCGTTTCTTCTTCCATTTCCTGCCTTTTTTTGGTTTGTTTTTTCTTCCAATTCTTGCATTTTTTGGTTTGTTTTTTCTTCCATTTCTTGCATTTTTTGGTTTGTTTTTTCTTCCATTTCTTTGAGGGATTTTCCTATATCCTCTTTTAGGGCCTCTATCATTTTCATGAAACTGCTTTTAAGGTCGTTCTCTTCTGCTTCATTCGCATTGGAATGTTGGGGTCTTGCTGGTGTGGAGTCTCTAGAATCTGGCGGTGTCATATTTGTTTTTCTGTTGCTGAGTGTGTTTTTGTATTGTCTCTTTCCCATCTCTTCTTCTAGTGGGTGCAGAAAGAGCCCCTTACTGGTCTGGGGACCAGAGTTCCCTTTTTGGTGGGTGCTAGCAAGTCCAATAATCTGGTGGTTCTTCTATTCCTTGTGCAAATGCTGGTCCCGTGGGTGGAGAAGAACAGGAATCTGGGGCGCTTAGCCTCCTACCTGGTCCCCTGGACCATATGCTGGATCCTGTTGTACCTGATCTGGAACAGCTACTCCCCTGGTCTCCCAGCCTCCTCTGGTTTCCTGGTCTCGTTGGTGGGAGAGAAGACCTGGAGTCTGGGGTGCTTGGCTCCTGCCGGGATTGGGAGCTCTGTGAAGTTCCCAGGCGATCTGCAAGCACTGGAACACAGTCTGGGAAGCCGGCCTGTTTACCTGATGCTGCCGGAGGAACCGCTGCTCCTATTTTAGCAAAATTTAACATCGATTTATGCATAATAATGGGAAATTTTGAAACTTATCCAAAAGGAGCTAGCAACTAAAAAAGATGAATGAGTGTGAATATTGCTAAATTTAGGGGAAATTATCAAACATGGCTGAAGTACATTGTTATCATCGAGGACCTGGTGGATTGGTTCTAAAGGGGCCATTGTATGATAATGTTGATGCATGCCAACCCAGAAATTTCATGCTTGATTATATCTATTCATGTCAAAAATCATTAGCAAGCTCACAATGAAAGGAAATGTAGATAAATATCATACTTCTGAAAGTGAAAAATTAGAAGCATTCCTGTTGTCAGGGGAAACAGGAAGCCTCCTCACTGAGAGTGAAACTATGTGATAGTGTTCTGTTCCCTGTTGAGCAAGGGAACAATTAAAACAATCCCAAGGGATTAACAAGAACAGAATTTCAGATAAGAGTTCACACAAATGATTACAAGATAAATATTTGAACAGTCACTAAGCAATTAAACCGAAAGCCTTATTTGTCACCACAATGGAAAGAAGAAATTTAATAAAATCTAGAAGCATTTATATATTTCTATGGGATAGAAAGTAATGTCATTCATATCCGTTGTAAAATCCTACAGTATACACAAACACACACACACACACACAAATATAAAAAAAATCAAATCTTTGAAAAAAATGTCAATGGAAACTGGGAAATGTAAAGAAGGAGCATGCTACTTACTTTCTATTAATGATGGGTTTATACTGCCAGCCATTCTGGGGAAGAGAGAACAGAGCTAAAGGAAGCTAGCAAATATCAATATTGCTCTTAGAAGGGAATAAATAGAAAATATCATAAAAGAAAGGACAAGAACTTTATGTTAAGAGATCGTTGTATCATTAGAACACTAAAAATATGCTTTCAGGATAAAATACCAAAATCAAAATAATCCAAAAAGAAAAAGCACTATAGAATACCATATAGTTCATAAAAGTACTTAATCGTTAGATACATTGTTACAATGTACTGAATTTTTCTAAGGAAACTTGTAGAGGAATAAAGAGATAAAATAAAAGTAAACAATGAAAATTTGATCAACAGTTTTCAAAATCCTTTATAGAGAAGAGAAGGGAAAGAATGGCTTGGCATGTTCAACCTTTGGACATCGCCACATGATATCATTCACAGAGTTCATGCTGCAGAACCAAACGCAGGCGTTACCAAAAGTTATCTCCCAATGTTGTATGTTTGTGACTTTGTGTTGGATCACAAGTGGACTACAGATTGTGCACACCTGGTGTTAGGCAGCTCTTGCCCTATCTCACTTCCTAGGTTTAATTTCCAGATATGTGAAAATACTTTAAATGATTATTAGCTACGATTAACTTGTTTAACATCAGAATCTCTAAAAATATGAAACAAAATAATTGTATTTATTTATTTTGCATGTGTCTGTGTGTTTATGTGTATCTGTGTGTGTGTGTCTCTGTGTGTGTATGTGTGTGTGTGTATCTGTGTCTGTGTGTGTGTCTATGTCTATATCTCCCTTGCCCTTCTCTGTCTTCTTTTCCCCAATGTTAGGATTACAGATGTGACACTAGTCTGTCTGTCTGTCTCTCTGTCTCTCTGTCTCTCTGTCTCTCTCTCTCTCTCCTCCCCGTGGTGGTGGTGTGTGTGTGTGTGTGTGTGTGTGTGTGTGTGTGTGTGTGTGTGTGCTCACTTCTGTGCTCCCAGAACTCATGCAAAAGTCAGAGGACACCCACTAGGATCAAACTCAGGTACTCAGGCTCAACAGCAAGCACCATTCATTACCTGCTGAGTTATCTCACTGGTTCAAAACAAACATCTAAAAATTGTCAGAATATGATGATGTTTTCCACCTTACCAAAAGAGTATCTTCTATACTTCCTAATTACTTCCAGATGTGAACTTAATACTTAGGAACACAATATTTAGTAGATGGGGTTTGTATATATAAATTTTCTTCTCTCCCTTCCAAACACCCGCACATCTGACAAACATAGTCAGTTTATAAACAAAGCCAGTTGAGAGAGGGAGTATTCCTCACTGTCTTCTTTTCCACTTCTCTAGGAAAATAAAGGAAAGTCTGGAGTGTTTCCCAGTTAAGCTGAATAACCTGATCCACACACTGGCACAGATGCCAGCCCTAAGCCTTGCCAAACCTGCCCCTCAGACTCTTCCCCGGGAATCCCGCATTCTGCAGAAAAACAGGACAATTCAGAGAGTCACAATATTAGGGCTCAGCAAGACGCACAACAACGTAAGTCTAAATCTGCACCACAGGGTCCGCTCTACGTGGCTGTTAAAGCATGGTGAGTTTTGCTGTGCAAATTGAAAATCTGTTACAAGTGGAGAGATGCCATTAAGGAGATGTCTTAAGAAGTATCATAACAACCAGAGTTATTAGTGGAGAACCATCAGAGGGAACTGTCCCTACCGTGTGGTACACTATAAATCGAGAGCTAATTAAAGTGTCTGCAAGAAAGGACAGCAGATATTAGGCAATATTGCCAGAACATTAAATTATGGGCCCTTCAAACATTTTGTTTATAGGTAATCATGGTGTTACAAATTGTACCCTTTGGCTCTGACGATAATTTTTTTAACAGAAAGCTTCATTCTTTGCTTAATTTATTAAAAGCCCATTTTAGAACCTATGGCAAGTTTTATCTCCATCTATTGATTTTTGCCTGTTTATCTGCAGCTGTACCTGATCGAGGTGACACTCAGGGACAACAGGAAAAGCCTAACCAGAAAGTCATTTGAGCAGTTTTCCAGACTTCACAGCCAGATTCAGAAGCAATTCTCATCGCTGGCCCTCCCCGAGTAAGGCACAGTCCCTTCTCCGTATTTGGCCATCAGAGCTTATCCTTGAGCAAAGGGAAAATGATGGCTAAGAGATTTCCCGTTTGGAGAGCAATATGCTGTATTTGATGCAGAGCCGCTCTCCCAGCAGAGCCTGAGCAGGGGAATGCAGAACAAACTTGACAATTTTCTTTTCTTTGCTTCCAGCCATTGATTTCTGTAGATAGGGGGAAAAAATCAGAAGCTCTTTCATTTTTCATCACTTACTGGGAAAAATTGTTTTATTTCTCTGTTTTAAAATTTAATCTTCTCAGTTGTTTTCTATAAAAATAGAATGGAAATTGAAAGTCACAAGTAAATCAACATACCTACTCTTTTGACAATAAGTGAAATTTGAAAACTCATATATAAGCGCACACACACACACACACACACACACACACATATATATATATATATATATATATATATATATATATATATATGAAGAAGGTGGGGGATTTCTGTCCTAGGGAGGAATGTAATAACATCAATGGGTTTATTCATAATTCTCTTTTACTGTTCTCAAACTGGGGCTCCCTTAACCAATAATTACTAAAGTTTCATGATCTAAACGTTATTTATTTCTTGTGCTTTCTGAAGGAATTAGGGAGATCACTCTGTTACTATGGAAAAGATTAAGCATAAGCTAACTTTAGATACAATGATAACAACTACTAGTCATCTAATTTGGAATATTTGCTAGTTAAAATGAGTCAAACTTAGGTTATTGATTTTGGTGTATAGCAAAGTTGTATTTTAACTTTAAAATTATGAGTTCCCCAGAAATTATGATATTGGCAGTCAGATAACCCAAATTTTGAATTTTCTTTTATCTGCACTAGGGTTTTTGCTAAGAGAACCAACCTTAATGTTTTAGTGGCCACTTATGACCTGACATACTTTGCACATATGGATTTATATTTGTTCTTTGATTTAATCATCTTCCAAAACATGAACACAAGTTGTCTATAGGTAAAGAGACATTTTGCAATACTGAAAATGTATGTTCCTTCTTGTCACAGACATTTTAGAACATGAACATTTTTCAATATCTGGAAGATAAGATGTTAGACAGCAGTTCATGAACATGAAAGAAAAATGCATTCACTCTGGAAACTTCCATGCACAGATTTAGGATTTTGGAGGGGAGGGAAATTCATGAAAAAAAAAAAAAAGAAACACGAACAAAAATCTTCAGACTTCAGTTGCCAAGCTCAGCATCGAGGGTGGTCATCATGGCCACTAGCAGTCACGTGACAGCATAAATTAACCTCTGTTACAGGCTGCCCCCTCAGGCCCTCTGTGTGCCGTGGAGAACCTTCAGGAGTGTGGGCGTCTCTTCTTCACGAGCCTCTTCTCTGTTTCCAGCCTTAGTTAGGACTCTGCTCTGCACACGACTGCTGCCCGGCAATGAAGCTAAACTGATATTCAAACCATGGAAGGAATCCAGTGAGGGAGGGACTTTTAGCCTCGTGTGCCCTGAGCAGCTCCTGCGGGCTGGCTCTCCCCACGGGGGCCAAGACTGGCGGTCATACATATGGATGAAGAGGAGGGCAAGAGCTCCTCTGACTCCTACATTTACTGAGGGAAGCCCTAAGAGACTTTTGCAAATCCCATGTGAGGAAGAAAAAAAATCAGAGAACCACAGTCAGGAAGGAGGGAATTCTGATTAGTCATAGCCTGCAACAGAGGTCTTCCAGCTGGGCCATGTGCACTTCCGGTACCTTCCAAGACCCCACAGGCATGGAGAAGGACCAGACCAAAAAGGGAACGAAAACCCTGGTGCTAGTACTGAGAAAATTAATTACCCTAATTATTAGAACAACTCTATTTTCAAATCAGGACTTAAGAACACAAAAACCAAAGCAAAACGTTGTTGTTTTCTTTTGACTGCTTTCTGCCTTAACAAAACTGAGAGAGAATGTGACAACGTGTCAGGTAAAACAGTAGAAACATGCTTTTCAGAAACTGATTCAATGTGTTAGATGGCCTTCAGATGGACTGGATGGCATTAGTATGGCCCAGTTCCTCAATTCTGTGCAAATAATTGTACTTAGAATTTTCACTATCTGTAAAACATCAGAAAAGATTGAATTGCTTTATTATTACCAATATGGAAGTTTTGCATATAGATATGTGAGTTATATTTAAAACTAACTGAACCATTTTCGTTGCAAGATCATTTCCGAAACTGCTACCATATGTATGTGTGTAATTATTTTTATATTATAGACTAATTAAATATTGGTACTAATTTTCATAACTAGTCCCAGACAAAAATAATTTTAATACTTAAATCCTTAGACTGATAGGCTATTTCAAAACCTTAAATCTTAGTTACGAGGTAATAATTTAAATATATAGATTTATCCATACCGTACTTCCATGACTATTTTAACAAGTAGCAGGGATTCCAGGTGGTGGTGGCACACACCTTTAATCTTAGCTTTCAGGAGGCAGAGGCAGGCAGATCTCAGAGTTCAAGGCTAGCCTGGTCTACAGAGTGAGGTCCAGGACAGCAAGGGCTACACAGAGAAACCCAATCTCAGAAACAAAAACAAAACAAGCAAATGAACAAAAAGAAGCCGCAGGGAATGTCCTGGCCTGAGGTCACCACCTGTTTCTGTGTGCTTGAGGAGAAAGCTTCACAGCCTCTCTCATGTCTCCTTCCCAGAAGCACTGTAGGCAAGCCCTCGTCTGTACTGAAAGGCAGAGGTATTGATAAAGGCAACAGCAAGTTTCTGAAAAGATACAGTTAAGCATAAAAGTACATTACCATATCGAACCACCAACAGGTCATCCCACCAAACAACTGAGGCTAAGCCCAACTTGCCAAGACAGTCTTTAGGTAGATGATAGAGCAGCTGTCTGGTCAGACTCTTGGGAACAGGATGGCTTTGACTCACAGGACTGAGGCCAGATGGAAGCAGATGCTACTAGATGAAATGTATGATTTATATGATGCAATAATGTCTGTCGTGAGCCCATAAGAAACAATACAGTCAGAACTCTTTGAAAAACTGTAAGTCATTAATTTCAGAAACTATGTAGTAGTGGTTCCTACACGTACCAGGAGGAAACATTTGTGGTCTGCCATAAATACAGTAATAAAGATCTTATTAAATTAACTTAACATTAAATTAAATTAGTGTTGATATCAGTGATGATTAAAGTAGCACAAATTGGTGTCTATGAAATAGTCAGGATTTCTAATGTTTTTATTGACCCTCCACTGGTGCAGTTGCTAACCCCAAAAGAGGTTAATCTCCCTGCTGATTGAAGTATCACTGCTTTCTTTTAAAACAGGTTTCCTCACTGGTGGCACTTACCATTCACAGATGCAGATCACAAGAGAATCACAGATCTAAGTCATTACATGGAAGAGATACTGAATGGATCTTACGAAGTTGCAAATGTAAGTTACAGCTTATTGTTTTCCACTTTTATGCAAATGTCAACCGTTGGCTTATCATTATCAAAAATAGTTTTAATTATATCGGCATTCCATAGTTTCTTCACTCAATAAACATGTATGTCTAGCATGTCTGAAGCCCATGAAGTCCTGAGACCCAGATTCACCTTGCCTAGAAGATGCGATGTGAGCTAAATGAATCACAAAATTCTGGGATGGTGTAGAGTCTCAGAGGCACGATTTCTTCCAGATTTGATATAGAAAGTATGAATTAGGAAACAGACTATCGTTCAGTCATTAAACTTGGTGTGGGATTTAACAGTTGTTCTAGGATATGTCCTGAGAAGAAACAAGCAGCAGAGGATCATGGGTAAGGAAAGTGATGTTAGTCTACTAGGTTCCATTGAGACTATGACCAAATACAACAGAGTGACTTGAGTTCTTAAACTCAGAAATCTGAATATAGGCTTCAGGGACTGAAGTCAATGTATTGACAGACCTGCTCCTGCTGAAATTGTTTATCTTCTAGAATAGAGGCTCCCAAACTGTTGGCCATGATACCATTGTGGGCTGCATATCGGACATGCTGAGTTTCATTTAAGCAATGGTTGATAACATTAGCAAAATTACAGTTATGAAGTAGTAACAGAATAATTTTATCATTGGGGATCATCACAATGAGGAACTATATTAAAGGGTTGCAGTATTAAGAATGTTGAGACCCACTGTTCTAAACAATCACTTCCAGTGGCACCTTCAGAACTCAGTTCCTGCCATTACACCTTCTGGTCTGGCTCTAACGGTCCTTGTGTCTCCACTAGAAGGATGCTAGTCATTAGACTAGGCAAACCTGGACTACACAGGCCAATTCTACCATTGCAATGCCTTTTGCTGTGTAAACTAACATTACATAAATTAGACTATGAACATCTACTGGTGGGGGGTAGTGGTAATTGTTCTACTGATACTAGGGATGTAACGATCTTAATGTGGAGAAGAGGGAAAAAGAGAGAAGGGAAATGTTCCAGGTGTGTTGATACTTTTGTGAGCAGACATATGCATTCACTGTATGACAAAACTTTTTCCTGGGAAGAAGCAACACACATGTCTACCCACTCCAGGTAGGAAGCCTCTATAAACAGAGCAAAGTACAAATACCACCAAGGTCTAACTTGGTGAACCAGAAGTTTCACTGGGGTTCCTTATAGGAACAATGGTGAGGGGCTACTTACAGGAACAGAGATCACTCAAATTTAGCTGCATCACGAAAGCCCACCCCAGCATGGGTGACAGCTCCCAAAGCTGGGAGCCTGGAGCAAGCTGCATAGCTGCAGGTGGCTCATCAGGTTGGAAAGAATCCTTTCCAGGTTCCTTAAACCTCTTCCAGGCAGCTCAGCTGGTGTCTGCTGCTTCCAGGAAGCTGGTCTGGTCTCAGAGTCTTCTTTGCAGCTGAGTGTCCTTCAGTCTGAGGGACTCTCAGCTTTTGATGCTTGCTGTAGAGGTGGTGGGGGGTAGGGGGTGGGAGATAGTAAATCCAGTCTGTTTGAGGGACTTCCTAAAACTATTTAGAGTAGTTTACCTTCCAGCTTAATGAGATTCCTGAAGGATGGAATGCTTTAATCTCAGGGTGAAAGATGCCTTTCCAGGACAGCATTTTCTATCTGTAACAAGGCCTTCCTCCGAAAACTCTTATGTAATAAACATTCAGCCAAGGGTGTGTATGTTGGCTGGACTTTCTATGATCCAACATTTTCCATTATTTTACTTGCATCATTTTGTATTTTCTATTTTAACCTTAACTCTTACAAGTAGCAAACAAACAAACTTTGTATTATATATAGAATACAACATTTGCCTTTTAGTTGGAAAGCTCATTTGCATCTGCTGTTGTTGGGGATGTTCTTGTGGGGGGAGGATATGGGGGGTGTGGGTGTGTGCATATGTGTGTGGGTGTGTGCCGAAATCTATTTTCTTCCAGGTGCTTTCTTTGAAATGCACCTGCTGTATCTTTTTCTTTCTTCCATTCTTAAAATTCATTGTTGCTAATTCAGTTCTGTCCCAAATAGCTTCAGAGTGATATACTGATTAACTGGGGGAATTGCCACACAAAACACAGCATGTCTTTCTAGTGTTTGAAAGCCCAATATGATTTGCATTTTTAAAAATTTTCCAGTGATAAGAAACCCTAAAACAGTCTGTTTAAGCCATTTGTAATCCATACACCGTGATAATGATACCCATTAATTTCTTTGTTCTTTGTCTGTTTTTAACATCTTTGCTTTTCCAAACTTCTTTTTACTGTCTTCAGACACTTTGTTGCTTCTCTTTGTGACAAGCAAGCTTCAGGGCTTCTTGTGTTTGTACTGATGGTGATTCAACACAGTTGGCTCTCTGACCCTTTGAAGCCAAGTTTAAAAATCACATTTCTAGCTCTTTAAGTTGCTCTCTGAAGAATATGGAGCAAGTGATCTAACCTATTGTCACCATGAGAATCTAGCACTACAATCACCTCTCAGGTTCACAGTTTCCAAAATGTCTGCTATATCAGAAATATCCACCCCATCCTCACCTGGTCCTCACCCTGTCCTCTCAGAGATGCTATGCTTCAGATCCAAGTGTGTTGTCATTACTCTTCCTGAAAGCTTTTAAATATTTATTTGCTGGGATAGTATTCTTAGTGGTTCTGGAAGAAATCTGGAAATTCTATAGAGAACTTGCAACACACAGACATACAAATGCATACACAAGCACCCATCTAAATGCTCATAAACACACACACACACACATAAACACAAACACACAGGCATACACACAATCATACAAGCCACACACATATGCATAAGTACACTGTACATGTGAGAAACTGATATGTCTCCTAATGCTAAAGAATCTCTCATTCTTTACTGTTGGGTGAGTTGTCTGCATGACATGGACCATCCCTGTGAGACAGTTGCTGGTTTCCTAAGGAGGCAGCAGGCAGCAGGCACACAGACCTCTTTAGCTCTTGGACATGATCATGTAGTGATTTATCCAGCATCCTTGGAGTGAAGAAAACAAGCTTTCTTGGGTGCCTTGCTTTTTGAAGCCAGGATGGAGAACATTTATAGAATAGTTTAAGTTAAATCACATCCCTAGGAGAGCTTGAATGTCACCAGTGCTAGCCCATCTGAAATAATAATTAGACCAACCAGTAGTCACGAGCCTTCTCTCAAGACAAGATCTCATTACGTAGCCTAGGTTGTCCTTAAGTCACAGTCCTCCTACCTCTGCCTCTGCCTCCAAGTGCTGGGGTTACAGGCGTGTGCCACCATGCTTGCCTAACAAGGCAGCATTTTCTATGAGAAAGACTCTATCTCTGACATTCAATGGTCTAATGAGCAAAGACAGCCTTTACTGATTGATCTGTGACTAAATAACAGAAGCAGGCACAGACCTACTGATTAGAGGGAGGGGGAGGACACCGGTCCTCCTTCCTATACCTAGCCATTGTCACAGACTATAATGTACTCCCTCTCTTTCTCAGATGGCATCGAGTTTTTGACTAATTTTCAGGTGAGGTTAGATTATTGTGTTGACTTGTTACGATAAAACTGGTAGACAATGTTCTGTATCAAAGGATAAGTGGCTGGACCTTATAGAGTTAAACTTAAGTCCAAAAGAGTTAGAAAGTGTGGCATTCAAGCCCCTATTGAAGGTCAGATGGTAGTTAATGAATAGAGATCACAAAATGTCACCCCAGACAAGAAGAATGCCAAGAAGCAAGCTTGGTGCCCATGTTCTTTTTTCCTGTTAGAAAATTGTAAGGACTAATGGGTATATCTCCTTCAGGTTTACCTCGCTTCTAGATAACTTCTAACATATCAATGTTTGCTAAATATTTTAAATGAAAATGTGAATGGCAATACCATCATTATCATATAGTGGCCTATGGAATGGCTGTTGTTCTTCAAACCTAAGGGAATGACAGATTACATCTGAGAGTATTTGGCAGTGATCTTTATACTCCTTTTCTTAATTATTGACAAGTTATCTCCCAGTCAACTTATGCTTCCAAAATAGGTAATTTATTTACATACATGTTATATGCAAACTTCCATATGAATAAGGGATGACATTTTAAAACTTGCAGAAAAAAGAAACCAAAATGTTTAGAAAACTATGAGAGAAATAATATAAAATTAATGGTCCTCTGGGGCCAGGGATGTACTTGAGTTGTAGAGTGCTTGGCCAGCCCTCGGTTCAATTCCCAGCATCACATAAGCCAGTTATGTGATGCATACTTATAATCCTAGCACTATAGAGGTAAAGGCTAGAGGATCTTAAGATTAAGGTAATTATCAGCTATATGGCTGGTTTGAGCTTTGCCTGGGCAACATGAGGTTTTATGTAAAATATAATTTCCACTCACTCTAGTGTGTGATACAAAATTAGTCTCATGGCAGAGACTTCTGCCTTAGTACAAGATGTTCGTGGGACTCTCCCAGCTGCCAAGAGAAAGACTGGTCCCATTGGCTGCCTAGTGTCATGTCAGAGGCACCCCAAGCCATGGTCAGTGTGGGTGACTATTTGTGCACTTCCAGAAAGACCCCTCTGGCTCTGTAGATAACATTTGCAGTGTGTTTGTTTTGATCAAAGAGAAGAAACGAACAATGCGTGTTCCCCCATGAGAACTACCTGCTGGAGAAACATAAGGGGAATAATAGTGTCAGCAGGAGGAAGCAGCCAATACTGAAAACAGTGTAAGAAAATGTGAAAGCCAGACCATAGGAAAGCACGCATTTCCAACATAAAGAGTCTATTCAGGGCCTGGAGGGATGGCTCAACAGTTTACGATTATGCATTGCTCCCACCGAGGTCTCAAGTTCTGTTCCCAGCCCCTGTATCAGGAGCTCACAACCTTCTGTGAGTTCATCTTCAAGGGACCCAATGACTTATTCTAAATTCCATAAGTACCTGCACTCACATGCTTATACCCACACACAGGCACACACATATACATATAA